GTTTTACAGAGGTGTCCGTATTATAGAGGTAGGGAATGTATGATTTTTGGCATTTCTGGGACCAAACGAACTGTCCGTAATAGAGAGGTGTCCGTATTATAGAGGTGTCCGTAAGGAGAGGTTAGACTGTAGTTCAGTTAGCGTGCTTTGCGCTTATTATTCCCAACCCGTACCCCTTTCCTATTGGTCAAACTGTTCATCCATATAAGCACAAACAACAACCCAAACTGTTATCAAACGTCGCAAGCGCCAAACGAGTACACTGCTGACCTCACCTTTTGACGTCATCTTTGTGTCCGGTATCAATATGGTATTTATACATGTGTAGACCGTTTCCGCAGGCAAGAAGGATAAATTTGTCGACATAATAAAACTTTGCCTGGGTTATTTCTTTAGGAAACAATGGGTTGTCCTGTGAAAAGAAACAAATAAATAAATCGATAAATAAAGAACCAAGATGCAGTAACCAACAAGTTCAGTGTGCGTTCTTACGAGATGGTGCAGATTACGGTTTATATCATGGTCACTCGGATCAGTGCATGAAAGGATTTAGCGTTTCCTTTTTTGCACCACTATCACACTATCCGAGTGATCTTGGATCATCAGTCCTGATTCGGATCATTCTAAAGAAACCCAACCTTTAAAATTACTTCCGAAAATAAATCTTAAATTTTTCTTCATCTCTTTCGGGACTCCGGTTTTTGTCTAACTAGCTCGGACCAAATCTTAATGGAATGAATGTAGAGAAGATCATCGCAGTTAAAAACGCAATTTATGCAGTGACTTCCTTGACTACGGTGATCTTCTTTGAATCTATTTCTATACTCCGCTATACTCACTTCAGATCTTAATGAGGTAAGAAATTCAAACCAAACTGACTGGATTTCACTAGCTTGCCATCAAGCCCTCCAATTCTGGCGAGCAAAGCGACCAGCAAGAGAACAAGCGAGCGGTGAAGCTGCGTTTCCTTTCGTGTGACGTTTTCGCGTGACTTCTCTTGACTCCCCCATACACTTCGTTATAGTTCGTTGCCTCCCTGAGGCAGGCAAGGGATCTTTAAAGTATATCAAACCACTAACCTTTAACTTAGCAGAGCTACCCAATTCAGTGGCAAAGTTATGATTGACAGATGACAATATCAATAAAGGATCCGACTGACTATGACTCCACAGTCTAACTGTCCTGTCACATGATGACGTCAGAAGCCAGTTATTGTCGTGGCTGAAATTTACGCTTGTGACTGAGCCATCATGGCCTACAACAGGATAAATAACAAATTCGAAGGCGTCAGTTCTCTCTTGATTATTATACGACTCTCGTGATATTTTTTCCCTGTTTTTGTCAGCCTTAATTTGAGACAATAGGCAACACTCAAGCACCGTCTGGTGGGGATTAACCTGCGTGGTGGTCATTTGAAGGGAAAGTAAAGAGTTGAATAAAGGCGCTCGATTAGGCTCTATTTCCGCTGCTACCTCGGGTCTCGCCTTTTCGGGGGAGGAGCGCACTCATTTCCCGAAATGCGCCTGGTAAATAGGCCTAACGTACGACTGAATATAGGGTGCGTATCAAGTTCTCGAACGCGCCTGCCATGTAGGCTTGATGAGAATGAATCTACTTTCATCATTTGTATCAGCGACGTTAAGATTTGCGTATGCGCAAGACTTGCAAACTTCACGCCACTTGAGTGACCATCACTCTTAGTCTACTGTTTCTTGGGTGGTAGCGTCAGACGAAGTTAGATCTCCCGTTTCAAAATGGATGGGTACGCCCTTGTCTTAAGCACATGAACTTAAAAAGGGGAAAAAGCAACGCAGACGCCAATCATTGAGTACCGCATAGCCTAGTGTAGATCAACCACACATCATTCCAACTTAAACTTTATCGGTCAAACAGCAACTTTTTTATTCAGCCGTTAGCAAAGCGCTCTAAAGTAAGCTGGCCCTTTACAAATCCCAAAGTCTGAATTCAGCTCAGTTCGTGTTCCAGATTTTCAAAACGAGCATTTGGGGTTATAGTAGCCACAATAAACAACCTGACCAGTGAATACTGTCTCTTTGCTTGAAGGTGGAGTTCTTAATACGTGAGCGCTCTTGTTCGCCAGTGCACAGGCTACATGTCGTCCATCCCCTGTGGAGAAACATTTCAACAATGAGGAAATAAGACAACCAAGAAAAAGTGTGAACTAAAATGATGATCAGTAAACCATTTGCCACTATAGAAAACAAGAAGGGAGCTGGACCCGAAATGTGTCCCGCAATTGTTTCTCGGAATGCTACTGGGGAGGCGCCGGTCAGCTTTAACTGTCCCAGAAGCCTTTGCGAAAGCTAACTCGGCCCAGTTTCCTTCTCGTCATGGGGCTTATGCGAGTGTTTCCTCGTTTGGCAGCGGTATAAATCTGGCAGCGATTGGTTCCGAGTCCCAGATGTTTGTTCGTACTAGATTCAGTTACCGGGCAACAGTTAAAAGATTTCCCGCCATTGGCACCAGTTTTACCGCGCTTTGGGCCAAGTCGCACTAGAGGACAAAACTGTTTATTTATGTCAAAAATCTGTCATCACAATGAAAGACCAATTGCGACCGGTTCGTTCACCAACGGACAAAATTTCGTCGCGGACGGACAAACTTCAAAGATGCCGTCGACTACCTCTGGAGCAGGCCAAATTGAGACAAATTTTGTGGAACAATAGCGAGGGAGTTTTAATTCTGAAATGAGTTGACAGGTGATTTGTAGCAGAGTCTCTATGCTATAAACTTCGCTGTAAAATTAATCACGTTCTCATTTCGCAATAACATGAATCCCGGCGCGGGCGACCAATTTTTTCCATACGAATATCCACAATATCCACCAGGATGGATCTATCCTTTGCCAGGCCTTACATCATTAATGATCGAGGAAATCCCAGCCCATCTCCTTCGACCAAGAAGATAGCTCAATGCCGGCATCAACCCCATCTTCTTCGCGTAGTGCATCTTCGTCAGCCGAGAACAAGAAGGCTCAGGGCAGATGGAGTAAAGAAGAGGAGAAGCTTTTAGTTCAACTGTGGGCTGAAATCACAAGGCGCTCACAGCATGGAATTGTGTTTTGTTCACAGATTTTGTTCTTAAGTGTGTAGCTTTCCGGACAAATTTTTGTCACTGGCCGATTTCAAGACGGATTTGTCCAGAACAAATCTGAAATTGCCCTCTAGTGCGACTTGGCCCTTTGCTTCGAGTAAAGTCTCCCCAACATCCCTTGGTCGATAGGAGACAAAGTTGCGTGTTTTACTCGCGCTCGATACGAGGGGCGCATTTTCCACGGCTTGGCAGTAGGTGCACGACTAAATTAACTATTTTGAGTTCGCGATTGAAACTGGGTCGACGTTGTGTCGAATTGCACTATGGGACTGTTTTGGGGGACAAATTTTGACCCAGTTTCCCGCTCAAATTTCAAATAGAAACGAGAAGAAGCGGGCTCCCACAATTCAATTTGACAAAACATCGACTGAGCCTCACACGTGCAACCTCGGAATGGCTCAAGTTCTAATGGTTACTACGCGGTGGCTTGCATTTGTTCCGCGCTGAAAACTAATTCGCCTGATTTTGGATAACATCGGATATAAAAGTTTTCAATTATGCTCCCCTACCTGCAAATACGACGCTGTTAACTGGAGTTGGCTGCTCCGTAAGCGGTATTTTATGCTGCAAATATGTCGGAGCCTCGCTGTCCATAGGGTACTCCTTGTGAGATGACCTATGATAAAAGGGAAATTTAAACCGAGAAATGAAAGCCTGTTACTTTTTAAGCCGCAACCGGACATCATAAACCTGTAAAAGATTTCATTCTTTCCTTTATTCCATTCGAAAAGCTTTCATCACTCTTCTAGGCCTGGGTGACAGCGTTATAGACTGTCAGGCTATTTATAGGAACATCTTTCGCGCCAAAAAAGACCTCTTAACCAATCAGTGCAGAGTATAGAATTCCCACTAAATGAACAGCAATGGTAGATAAGTCTCAAGCGAGGGTAGTTGCTTCAATTAAATACTTGAGTTCAAAGTCATCCGATTTTCTGAGCGAAGGAAGCAATTCCAGTAGTAAATATCAAGGCAAATTTCCCGAAAAAAGAATCTAAAATAGGCTTAAAATCTAACGCCCTTGAATACTTACTTATAGCAGATAAAGCCGACAGTGTGATGGACTCCTGCTACAAATTTTCATTTATCTCGTAGAAAAAAGCGTATAATTCCTAAATATAACTTACCTAACACTTGAAGAAGAGGCATTCGTCCTTTTCAAGGAGACCGACGACGCTCTTTTCGACATGTTAGTGTTTGGCGAGAACATTTTAGATCTGTGAAATGAACACGAACACGCTTCATTATATGCGACATCGTTCGTTCTCGACGTCTGCTTAAGCTAAAAAAACAAAATTGGACGGAAATATACATTGGGATTTCCTTTATATTCGTAATCCCGGTATTTCTCGAAGGATAAATTCGGAGTATAAGTTTAAGAATATTTCCTTCTTTTGGTACGTATACAGATCATTAATTTTTGGCAAAAGAAACGAACCAGTAATAAGTTAACACTTACAGCTTATCTAATAATCTACGAAAGTACCGGTAATAAACTTGGCTTGTTAACCTGTTGAGGAATTCCGCCAAGCATTCTTTGACAAGTGGCTTGCGGCCCGTGCCTTACCGTCTTGGGAGAACAAAAATCATAGTATTTTGAGTGGTGTCAGTCTTACGGAAATTTCGATTTGTAATTACAGTCTAACCTGTGTTATCTAAGCGAATCTGTATTAAACGGCCACCCACCAAACTAATGTTAAGCTGCCGGTGTGACACTTAAAAGTGGTCACCTCTTTTACGAAGTCATTTACCAAAGTCTCGTAAATCATTTTTTTACGGTAAAATTGACCTATATTAATTAAGCGGTCACCCTCTATTAAGTGGCTGCGTCACCTTTTACCGAGGTCCCAACGAGTCACAATTTACTTCTTCATCTCCTTTAACCCTTTAAGCTCCAATATCCACATACAAATTCTCCAAACTGATCTCCATACATTTCCTCAAAGAATTAGTTGAGAGAATTTGATAATAGCTCAAGGCACTTTCTCTTTGGTCATCATTTTATTAATTCACATAACTTATTTTTTGACATTTTATGGATATTGTTTGGAGAAAATTGATCTTGGTCACTATTGGGACTTAAAGGGTTAAATATAAATTACACTGCCCAACCATACCTTGGAGCAGCAGAGTAACCAGACGATTTGACTTTCGAGTGAAAAGTAAGTGGCTTGTCGCGAACGCCCGATGTTTTCCCTGAAACATCAAACACAATACCGTTTTATAGCATCATTCTGACATACACTCACAGAACCCTTGTAACAAGACTCGCCTTAACTTAGCTTCTTAATGCACTAAAATTACTTTTTATGTGCATACGAGGAACACCCAAACCCTTTTCTTAATTTCATGTAGCTTTTGAGTTCATTAGTTTCTCATGCACAAAGTGAAGACCGTTTACCATGAACTCGAAAAAATACTGGTCAGCAAGTGGGAACGGAGATATGGTCGGTATGCGGGGATGACAGTTCATTGAAGTGATCTGGCTCAGTCGCTTAAATTTTCGTCATTGTTATAGTACCTGCTGAACTTAAAAAAAGTCCTTGGCTCTCGCTTTGGGTTTCCTTAAATTCAATGGTAATTAGCGATGGTTTAACTGTACAAGAAAAAAAGCTTGGAAAATAAACAGTACTGAATAATGGAAATTTAACTCAGTTGCCAGTTTGAAAGCGCTGTGAATGATATGTACAGAAACATTTTGAATTCAATCATGAACGGATCTATTGCAATAAACACATAAAAAAATCGGTCTTGTTGGTAGAAGCATTTACAATGCAATGTGGTTCAACCGTATCCCTAGGAATATGGTACAAACACTACACAGGTCACCAAGCACCTATTTGTGACGGTCTTTTCTGTTGGTGTTGTTTCGTCGCTGCTTTTGGAACAAGCTCCGCCTTCAATGGCGAGTTGCTGCACAAGGGGGAACTGCAAGAAATTTAATTGCTTTATTTTAATATTTTAGTCACACTTGTTTTAACAACAGCCCTTTGTTTTCCAACCCTTTCCGCTTTAAAACAAGTGTCAATATAAAGTTTGGAAAGTTTTGTTTCGGAATTGAATTGGTTTCCTGTTATTAAATTCTCTGTAATTGGCTCAAATTCAATCGGGATTGTCGGCGCGCAGTCGTTTTTCCCGCGCTTTTCGCTGGTTGCATGTATTTACGTTGACTTCTGATTGGTGCACTGGGTTTTGTCTACTTTAGCCTAGACGAGGTTTGAGTTTTTGACAGTCAACTGAAAAATGGTCTTCAGTGAAGACGCTTAATTCCTGTACGGCTTTATCCATTTCTTCGCTCGCATCGCGTGACCCATCCGAAAAGCATCGATCGCGCGACGCAAAATTTTGAGGCCTAGAAACTAGCTATAGCAAAAGGCTGTCACCTTAATACCGATAAATTACAGTAATCTCAAGAACATGTTTACCAGCTTATTCTACTACATGAGAAATTTCTACAATTTGATTGGCTTAGAGCAGTGGTATTTCAGCGTAATTTGAAATACCTACATGTGAAAATTACAAACCTTTTGAGGGTAGTAGTATAAACAAATAATAGCATGATTTGTACGTGATATTTTGCATAAACATCACTCGTGACATTTCAAAATTGTCTAAAATTTCACTCGCCTAACGGCTCGTGAAATTACGTATAACAATTTCGAAATATCACTCGTGGTATTTATGACAAATATCATGACTACAAATTATGCTATTACCCGTACAAATATAAAACAGCGCTTCTATAACGAAATCATTAAGGAACAACATACTTGGAAAGGACGGTGATATTGGTCGTTGACGTCATCTCTGCTCCTCTTAAGCCTGGTGTCTCCTCATCCTGGTTACCATGAGAACTGAGACCTATTGACTGCGAAAACCTTTGAGACAAGACCTAGTAAATAAAGGGAAAACTCTCCAAATTAAGAAAAATTTCCGTTTAGAAACTGTTTAATTTTAAACTCTACACAGAAAGCTGGGGTCAATTCAATGAAACTTTTACAAGTGTTGCTACCGTTTCAGCGTTTGAAAACATACCTACGAGATTGTACGTTACACTTGTAAAGTTTTATTGAATTTACCCCTTTATAGAGAAAAAAAGTTATCAAGAGTTACCTCAGAGACACTTTCGTTTTCCTTGTTAATCATTGGCAGTTTAATATTCACGACGTTAACAGTGTTTTGGAACAAGCTGCCGATCATACAAGTGACCTGAAATGATATTTGAAAGAAAAATAAAACAGATTGAAGTTGACAAGCTGTTTTAAGGTGAACTTGCCTGATTTGAAAACTTGTTCCTTTGTTAAATCATTCAAATGACAGAGGGACAATTATTTTCATTGATGATGAATCTATAAACTATCAGCGTGTAAGTTAATGAGGACTCATAAAGAGCTGTTAAAAGCACGTAATCGCTTTGTTTGACAAGAAGCTTGCTTTCATTTTTCCTCGTCAGCCTAATTCTTTAGATCAAACGAAAACCGAACACAATCACTGCTTTATTATTAATTCAAAATAATTCAGACTTTCAAAAGAAGCTAATACCTTTATCAGGATATCACTGGATATTTAAGCTAGCAGATATTCTTTAAATAACAGAAATGGCAGGTGTCATCGGTCGAGTTGGTTGTATTTTTACTTTTCTTTCCATGTTTTTAGGCTGAGTTTCCCTATTTCTACCTCGCAAAAAGTTTGAAATCCACCGCCATTTTCTTCAGCTTTACCAAAACAGCTAATCTAATGCAACATCGTACCGCAGAGCCTCCCGGTTGCCATACATTTTTCTGGCGATATCCGGCACTATTGACGTCATTTTACCTGATATTGCAAACGTCTTTCAAATTTGGTCAACGCTAGCTGGACACGAAAAATTAGCAAGGGGTCTGAAGCCAGTCAGAAACGGAGAAATATATCTTGAATGAAGAGATCTCAATCCATTTATGCATGTTAAATAGTTTTCAACCAAATCACAAAATTTTAAAAAAACTTACACTACCGTCGGGTCTCTGAGCAAAGGCAAATGAACCAGGAGTGGAAATGTTATACTGAACTTCATCCAGCTCATCACTGGATAAAACAGGCTCTGTAACAATAAAGAAACTGCTTTTCAAGGTTGGTTTAAAGAGGTCTACGTAACGCTATTTGGTATCTCTATAAAAGGCTAAAACTTTTATGACATCAATATAATACCAAAAATAATGGTCCAGTTTTTTTATTTAAGACTATATTTATGCATTGAAACTGTTTCCTGTCGTCTGTTGCAGCAGATTGCAAAGATGAATATGGATTGAACCTTTAAAAAAATGGCCCAACTTTTTCAAGCTTTAATGGTATGGCAGCAAAAATCACCACAAAAATGATTACGCGAGCAGTCTCTCCTTTTCTACAGATTTAGTGAGGGGAGTGCACGCGCGCGCGAGCATCGAGCGGCGAAGCCTCGAGACGCGAGAAATGAGGGCGCTCCCATCTCGCGCCTTCGGTCACGCGCATGGTCATTTGCGTGTCTCGCGCGTTTTGCTCGATGGACCAAGAATAAAGGGAGACTGCTCGTAGTCTAGTAAAGGCACTATTAAGATAACGACTTCAGCACAGTAAAACTGCAAATTATGTCCTTGTGACGTAGCCTCCTTAAGACTAAGATTTTTCCTTGTTGCTTTAAAAACATTTTGAGCGATTTCCAACATAGCAGAACTTACTTAAGAACTTTCTTGGTCGAATTTCTGTATAGATCATTAAATTAAGAGAAAAATAGAGAGGAAAAGTGTGACATTACGTTTAATACCATGGTAGCAAAATTTCTAGACTCGACAATGTTTCTTGACAGAGACGGCCTATTGCCTTGTGAAACGATGGAAGAAAAGTATGGGCTACCGTTTTGTCCCTGAGTGCAATCATGCACAGGAAAGTCATAAATGTCAATTTTTTCTTTTTTTTGACATGTTTGCAGGACAACAGTTAGTTGAGATCCAGAAATTTTGCTACCATGGCAACATGACATAAAGACTTCTCCTCTCTATTAACGACAAGTGAATTATTACTGCTCAAAAGAAATCAGAATGTAGGTGTCTAGCACCAGAGGCAGTTGTTTTAAGATTAAAGTGACAGACATGGTCAGCATCAGTTTAACAGTGTTACACAGTAGTCACCTTGAAAGTCCAGTAGGTAAAGTGGCTCTCTGCTATTGCAGTTTAAAAGTATAATGCAGGCTGAGGTTGCTATGGCTACAATGGAGGGAACATGGAATACATCTCTACAAAAATAAAAAAAAAAGATTAAAGTGACCCACACATGTGTTATAGATATACATTTCTGTAAATGTTCATCATCTTAATCTCAAATACATGTACATTAAAAACCCTTGAGTAAGAACCTGGTGATTTTCCCAGGTTAACCATAGAAACAGGTTCTTACATAATTAATGGTAATAAGCACAAATCTAGACCACTTAGGTTCTTAAATAGGTTTTTATTTTATGAAGAAAAAATTACACTGTATCCAAAAGAATCTAGTGGGATAATAAATTATTATTAATGTAATTTGTGACAATTCTCCACTTGCATTGATGTTTTTAAAGTAAAAAATAACAATCTGGAGGCCATATAAATAGTTTATATCAACCAAGGTGCCTTGTTAAATCTGGCCCCATTGCCTCATTTTAAAACCAATTTTGGAACCTGGAAAATTCCTTTCTTTTTTTAATCATATAACCCACTTGATGTTTCTTACTTGATAGCTGCTTTATTTCGTGGCCCAAAAACAGCTTCATAGAAGGCCATATCACTCTGTACTCCAGCATTTGGCTGCTCTGGATTCTTGACAAAATATATTCCAAACACAGCTGTTCCACGTTCAAGTTCAACTGCAGCCTCTTTATCCTCCTCAGGAACATGCTCTTTCTGCCAGGCTGGTTGACTGCTTATAAATGATGGTCCTTTATAAGATGTAGCAGCAGAAATTTCCTTCTGATCCCAGTACTTTTGCAACAATTTTCCGAGGTCCAGCTCAAACAGGCAGTGGAAGCCGCCATCATAAGTAAGGTCATACATATGAACCTACAATTCACAGAGGAAATAAAAAAAGAAATAGCATTTTTGACTGGTGTTAAATCTGCACAATGCTTAATAATGATGATGATGATAATTACAATATAATATTTTAATCTAATATTTTAAACAAAATTCTATGTTGTTACTACTGAAATGAAACCTCTTTTAGGGTGCAAAGAAAGTTGGTTTTACGGCTTGCCATTCAGGCAAGTTGTTGCTAGTATGTACTAGCCCAAGAGTCTTTTAAGTAGCGCAAATAATTTTTGATGAGCAGCATTGATTACAGTTCTTCTGTATTTTGAATTTCCCCCAAAACTTCACTTGCCCTTCGGGCAAGTTAAGAACAGGATTGACTAGCCCGATTGCAAAATCCACTAGCCTTGGGCTATCGGACATGACTTTCTTTGCGTGTTGCTTTTGCAGAACTTTTGGATAGTGGTTTTATTTCTTAAGATTTTGCTCAAGGGAATATGAATTTTTGTAATTTTGTTCCTTGGCTATAATAATATTAATAAAAAATTAAAGTGTTAAGAAGACACTGAACAACAACAACTCCCCAATGCAGTCTGGCTACCAGTGATGGTTTCTTCAACATAAGTAAGAAACTCTCAGTTAAGCACTACTACCTTTCCGTCTGCAGAGCCAATAGCCATCTGGTCTTGGACAGGATCAATAGCCAGAGATATGAATGGATGAGCTGAAAGATGTTTAGAAGGATCAACTTGAAAGCATGATGCATGTACATGTATTAAAAAAAGGGATTAGTATTGGTTACAACAAGCCATGTGTACATACATGACTCAATCAAAATTGCACCCAAGTATCCTCAGGTGCAAAGACTTTTAATATAAAAAAATAAAGATTAACAAGGCAAGAAAATTAATGGGTGCAACAAATGTTTTTAAAACACTTAAATGACTTGTACCTGACAAAATGGCTGACTGATAGACTAGGCATGACTGATCTATATCCCAAACCTGCAAATGGTAATCAGGTCCAATAAGCATGCACATTAAAAATTTGTAATTTATATTAATTTATATTTTATAAAAATTATTCAAACCATTTAATATTTTACAAAATTAATCAATCAAAAAAGTGAAAGTGGCAGTTTGCTGCAAAGTTTTTCATAAATACATGTACATGTTGAGAAGCTGAAGACTGTAAGCTACATTAAACACCCATGTAAAAACACATTTTGTCAGACATATTGTGGACAACATGAATCTTGAGTTAGTAAAACAAATAAATTAATAATAAAAATAATAAATAAACGGGAGCAAGAAACTACCTTAGGTGCCATGCAATGGTGTTTTCACAGACCAGTTTCTTTTTTTAGACCAATTTTCCCGCAAAGTTTGAAATCAAATAAGTCTTACAAATCAGTCATCAAAAACCAGAGACCAGAAAAAAGTATTTCTGATGTTTTGATAGGATTTACATCTTCTATTTGTAATGACCATAGTATCAATGCATATGCATATGGAACAGTGGTTCCATTTTCATGGGAAATGCTCAAAAGTGATGCCAGAAATTACTTGATTGGTGAAAACTCTGTTGCATAGGCTAAGTATGGGAGTTGCAGGCTCCAGGTACTGGCTCCTAATTGCATCTAATTTTTTCATCCATTCTCCAGTGTCCAGCGAAAGTTCTAACACTGTTCACTTGTTTCTGACACATGCTTGTTGCCAAATAATATCACTGCATTGATAACTCTTCATGCTTGTAACAGGGACAACAAAAAGTTACTTAGTACATAAAAAGTTCATAACCTTAAATGTTCTGTCTTCACTTATAGACACAATAATTGATTCTTTATTGGGGCAAAATTGTGCACAAGTCACCAGACTGGTGTGTCCTTCCAAAAGAGTATCCAACTTGCTGGTCTAAAATCAGCAAGAAACAGATCAGATGAATAAAAAATTCACTGTAAAATTTCAAGTTCATGTTTACAGTACCAAACTCTAATCAAGGCACTATTTTATAGTACAAAACATTAATAAATAATGAGGAGTTAGATTGTCTGACAAGGGATGAAAAAAGTCTGTTTCCCACAATTTCTTCAAAATGTTTAAAGCAAACTAAATGTGAAACTAACTAGTGCAAGTTAGAAATATATATATTTTTTATGTCAAGCTGATATCAATTTGAAAATCTTGAAGAACTCCAGTCAATTCTCTCACTTTTCACTAACTAAAGTAAGAATTCCCTAGTCTAGAATCTAGTCTCTAAAACTGTCCATTCCAAGCTCATTATCATAATTGATTTGCAAAAAAACATCCAAGAAAAAAATACAGTTCTACATGTACATTGTGTCTGTAAACTTATGTTTTTCACACTTTACATGCCACAGTGGCAATTTGTCAATATAAAAAAAGAAAGCCATTTTTCTGAAAGCCATTTACTGAGATGAAAATACTATCCTGCCAATGGATTTTTCTGTTAGGCATCGACATCATCTCATAGAATACAACTCTCCTATAACCTTAGGTTTTATCATCCTGACTACTGGTATGTCCTAATGTGTAGCAACTCTAGTTTGCTACTAACCTGGATATTAAGGACCCATATTTCCTTTTTAATACACACTGTTAACAGTCTGTCTGTATGACTGAAACTAAGGTGTTGGACATGCCCAAGGTCTTTGCCCACAGGAATACCACTACTATGATCACTAGCTATGGAACAAGATATCAATAATTATTAGGAAATTAAAACAATGCAATCACCATACTGGTGAACATTGCTACAGAGCCTTTCTGCCTGAACAAAAAGAAAAAAAAACTGACCCAAGTTGTTAAAAAGCTGGATAACACTATCCAGTGGATAACACAATAAGTTTTCCAAAGAGAAACACTTTTCTTCTAGACAGTGATTTAATCTATGTTTTCGTTTGTTTTGCATGGTCATACAAGTCAATATAGTTACACAATGGATCTTTGAAAAGGTTAATCCTTATAAAATTCTTGGTCTTGCTTTTGCTAATTTTGGGAAAGCTAACGCACTCACAAAACTCACTTTACCAAGAATATCACTATACTTGTCAACAATGTAAGTTACTATTGATATATGGGTGTAAAGTACATAGCCCCACAGGGCCAATTGCGACATGTTCCATTAACTGAGTTTTACAACACTATCGTCTTGTGAAACTTTCTTAAAATTTTTTAACCTTTCTGTTGATTCTCAATTTCCTTTGTTTTCTAGCCCTAATTATTCAGGAATTAGTCTAGGAGACAAAGAAAATTGAGAATCAACCTAAGTTAAAAAATATTAACCTCATTGTAATTTGAACTGTAACATATGCCCTCACTTATGTTATCAACAGCAAGAATTCTGTCAATGTTCCAGATAAAGATGAAGTCCTCAGAGGCTGTGCAGAGGAGAAGTGGCCTGGTTTTCTGTCCAAAACAAGTTGCACTGATCACTTGGCTATGTCCTGATAACTGCAATGGCTTAAAAATATTATAATAAATTGTTATTGGAGATGAAACCAATGTTATAGAATTGCACATTATTGGGTTCAAATTTACTCCAAAAAAAGGGATATTACCTTCATCTCACTTTCCATTGTTAGAGGCAGTGTTGAAATCCGCCCTCCCCACTTACACAATTTACCGTGTTTCCTCGAACAATAGCTGGGGGTGATTATTTCTTTTTTTGCACAAAAAGAGGGCAATTATTTGAGGGAAGGTGACTATTCGAGGGAGGCGATTATTTCAAATAATTATTGCTCACTGACACTGCCAGTCGTGCCCTAAATAGATTTTTTTGTCCATTAAATCCAAAAATAATCATGTCAAATAACACGAACATGGGCTTTTTAAGTGTTCCAAATATAGTTCCTTGATAATTTTCAGAGCTTGAATCATCACTGATCAGTTTTGCTGATGGTCTTTGCTGAATCTCATTGCACTTCAACTTGAGTGGGAGGGGATAAAAGGAAGAGAAGATGGTGAGAGGGGCAGGGGAGGGGCGATTATTCAGAGAAGGCGATTATTTTAAGTATTTCTGTCAAAGGGGGGGGGGCGATTGCTTGAGGGAGGCGATTAATTAAGGGATGTCAATTGTTTGAGCAAAAAGGGTACTCCAATTCTCTCGAACCCCCCCCTTCTTTCCATCCCTGACATTTTATGGGTTTGACTCCCTTAAGCTTCATGAGGTTCCGCAAATGAATACACTAATATAGTTTCTAGTAGGTATCCTAATGATGAACAGTTATGGCATACAGATATTTCCAGCAACATCGATAATTATTTGCAGACTGTCTCCTTTGAAACAGTTTTCAACGCTTTATTGACTGCATTAGTACCCACAGTGAAACTCTCAAAGGGTAAAAGAGGCCATAAAAGACAATGTAGGCTGGACAGACAGCGTGATACCCTTACGCTGGCATGAAGAGTGGTGATGATGATGATGATGATGATGATGACAATGATAATATCTTTGAGTGTGAAGATGACTACCACACAGGTTGTCAAAACATCAGTCAATGTCAACAACTTACTTATAAATACTTTACCCTAACCACAAATATATCAAGAGTGACAATAGACCATATAACAGTTTTTTATACCCTCTTGATGGCTAAGTATGTGCAAGATATTTACAGTGTTAGGTATGTAATGTGAAAATCTGATGTTGAATAATTTTGCTACAGTGTATAACATCTGTTGTTAAAAAAAATTGAACTGTAAACTAATGCTACAAGGCAGAGGTATCTTCTTGCACAGCTAGACCTATGCTAGCTTGAAGCTGCACCTTGTTACAGAATTTCCATACATTAATTATAGTAAACTATTCAAAGGAAATTTGAGTCAGCCGGAGGAAATTTTTTACAGACAATTGTATATAATATACAAATAATTACACTCTATTTGAAAAAGTGATTTGGGGATTCGCCTTTTTTTTCTAGAAAAGCCTATTCACTAAAATTATTTGACATCAGATTCTCAGACATACAAATGATGACATCATTTCTCCCCCGCCTGCCTACTGAGCAAGATGGTTTCAAAACCCATGATTAGGTCTATGGTACTGAGACTCCAAAAAGAATGGATTACTCACATTATCAATACAACAGCTGATTTATTCCAAAGCAGACAACTAAGGAATTCAGTGTAAGTTACTGATAAACTGCGGACCTACCCCTCCCCTAACTCAAGGTTAACACAAACTACTTACCTAGGGCAAAATGTGGGGTGAGGGGAGGGTTAACTACATTACAATATACAGCTGTAGGTGCATTCCTTCTGACTCAAACAGTGAGGGCTGGAACTTTAAGAATCAAAAGGTAGGTAGTAATCAAAACCAACAGAGCTTCTGATGATCCTGCACAGCTATTCTTTCCATAAAGAACAGTGATATGACCAGCTGGTCTGTATAAACCAGCGCGTTCTAACAGGAACATCAGTTGCCGGTCAAACAGTTGACTACGTACAGTACATAATACACGGTAACTAAGACCATAGATCGGATATTAATAATTTAAAAGACAGTAACATACCTTTCTTGATAAGTCTCCAAGCCACCAAACACCTATTATAGTTTTTGTAAGAGGTAAAGCGAGGAAATCGCCTGCACACGACATTTGCAGTTGTCCCGGGCAAGAAGACACTCGAAGCAAACCATCGTGGCTTACCGCCATTTTGTTCAAATCTTGGCAAGTACTTCATGTATGGCCTCAGTTCTTATTGTACCCTGATGGCGGCTACCGCTGAAAGAATCTCGGGAACACAATATTCAATATGGCGACCTCAGGAGGGATGGATGCGGAATACATTGGGAAATATATCAAGATTGTGAAGGATTCACTCGCGGTGAGTTCGCACGAACGTAAGCTTATATCATTGTGATAAAAACTGAGTTAAAAGAAAGCCTTTGACGGTATACAGCTGTAGATAGCCTGTACTTTTGGTCCTCTCCTGTTTTACCAAATTCCTGCAAATTTGATTGATTTTCTAGTTGTTTTATGTATTATTTATTACTCTCATTCCTCTCTTCTCCTCACCAAAGTTCTGTGATTTTCCTTCGGAGTGCAAGAATTGACTTGGGACATTCCATTCTTTAAAATCCTAGTAGGAATCCGTTTTCAAAGGGACTGACAAAAAATGATGGGGTAGGAAAGGCTCCAACAAAAAAGTGAGGTGGTAGTAATTTCCTCATCAAAATGTTGGGAAAAAAAAACCTTTTCTTCTGTGTATTTTACACTGTTCACCCTTCAAGCAGAGCCTCTTTTTGTCTTTTAAAAAAAGGCTCTGCTGGCAGGGTGTACACTGTTATGCAAGTGTCCAAAAACTCGCACCCCCTTCCCCAGAAATTTGCCCCGAATTATTAGACCCCCCTACCCATAGAAAATTAACCCGGACTATTGATCCATATTATAGCCTGCATAAGAGGTGCTTAAGGAGCCAAGCGAGGCAAATGCGACTTTTCACCCGAAAAAGCGTGACGGTTAACCTTGTAGCATGATATGTGGTGGGAGAGTGACATAAGCTACGCAAATGGTTTTAACTTTTAAAGCTGTGAGAGGCCTGGAACGAGACCGAGTGAAAGAAAGGGGCAAGTGGTGAAAAAGAAACGTGAAATGTAGCAAGACAAGTGTGGGAATTGTATTGACCTGTTTTATTTTTTGTGAGTTACCTTTGTTGTAAAATCTCCGTGACAAGCGCTTGTGACTAGTCCATTGTTCTGGCCCTTCTGCCCACCTACTCCTACAAGTATTGACTGACAGTGGTGATGACTAAAGGACCAATCAAAACATGATCCATTATTCACAAAAACTGTCACCTTTCTGGCTCCCAGAAACACCCACATAAACCACAGGAAACAATAATAGCTCCATTAGTGCATTGAAATGCCTTTAAATGTAAGACTCAGTGGAGCAAAGATTTGCTCTGCAGTCAAAGTTAAGAATGTTCAAACACAATGGCAGGAAGGAAAAGAGGGAAAACCTGATGTTTAAGCAAACTCTTAGGTTATGTTTTACATTGTCATGAGCTTATGAGTCATGTTTGGCCTGTCAATGCTTTATTTCAAAAAACCGGTAAATAAGGCCTTTTCCAAACCCAGTTGGAAGCAATCCAAGAATATCCTTCCTCTTAAGCAATAAATTTAAACACTTCTCTTGTTTTCCTCTGTATCTGGAAAATTTTGGAATAAATGAAGAGCTTCTCAATCAGCATGGTCAAAAAAACATGACTGCATGACGGCTATTTTGTTCAAGACAAACATGCCAGAATCACACCAGAACAACACATTATAAATTAATCAACTGGAATGCAACGTTCATGTAGTGAATGTGGGAGGAGCCAGAACGATGCAGGCTACCCATATTAATAAATTTCCCCATCTTTAGTACACAATTAATAGCCCCCAAGTGTATATTGTATAACAAATACTTGTAAACTCTCTCACTCTTTATTGTACTCTATTTCAATATTGCCTCTACCCCTCATCATCTTGTTTGTCCCACTTACAAACAAGGTTTTAGGGCACTCTTCATCAGACAAACTGTATTCACCACCCCTATTTCACCACGACCGCATGGAAAAATGCCATCCGAGCAAAGAGAAGAGCTTTTAAGAAGTATCTAAATGAAAGGACAGAACAAAACTGGGAAGAGAAAGTGAAATGTCGAAATGAGGCAACCAGACAACGAAGAATTGCTGTACGGCAATACTGGAAGAAAAAGACGTCTGACCTTAAAGAAAACCCAGGAACGTTCTTTGAAACTTTTAAACCGTTTCTTGGATCTAAGAAAGGGGTCTTGGGAACTGATATTAACTTAAAAGTTGACGGCAAGATCATTAGCAACCAAGAGACTGTTGCGGAAATATTAGCAGGTCACTTCGCTACGATAGCAAGCGATATTGGAGATGTCAACTTAAGAAACTCCTCGGAGAATGACTTAAATAATCATCCAAGTGTCTTGCAAATACAAATGGCGAGTATCTCAGAACCAATGATCGAGTCCAATCCAGTCAACCAAGCACAAGTTAGAAAGGCTCTGGAGTCACTTAATACGAGGAAAGCATCAGGATATGACAATATGCCAGCCAGAGTACTGAAATATGGAGCGGAAAAACTTGCTATACCACTGGCGAATCTGTACAATTCATGTATTACAAATCGACAATGGCCAAACAACTGGAAAAGGGGGGAATGGACGCCCGTCTTTAAGAAAGAGGATCCACAAGATTGTCGGAACTATCGACCAATAACTGTCCTTCCAGTGGTTAGTAAGGTGTTCGAGCAGCTACTTAGCGACCAGATTTCTAAGCAATTCGACAGCCGTCTGGATCCCCGAATTACGGCATATCGTAAACGCCACAGTTGTGAAACAACATTGATAAGTCTTATTGAAGCGTGGAAATCAGCACGTGATAACCAGCAAATTGTTAAAATCTTATCTACCGACTTGAGTAAGGCTTTTGATTCGCTTCATCCGTCCTTAATGATCAGCAAATTAAAAGCGTATGGTTTTAATGACGAACTATGTGATCTACTTCGATCTTACCTGTGTAATCGATTGAACCGAGTGAAACTGGGAGCTTTCAGAAGTGAATGGAAGCGTACAGATAGGGGTTGTCCACAAGGATCGGCCCTTGGCCCATTGTTATGGAACATCTTTCAAAACGATCTGACATACGTAATAACTTCGCATCTCTCTATATACGCGGATGACCATCAAATGTTTGAAACAGCGGGGAACCTGAAAATGGCTGACACCAATCTTATGAGGAATGCCAATAGGGCCTCCGAATGGTACGCTAGCAATCTGCTACAAGGAAACCTGAGCAAATATCAAACTATGACTTTAAAGCATAACAAGACAGAAAGTAACACTCCATTACACTTTCAAGGAAACACCATCGAATCTTCTGACTGTCTTAAGTTGCTAGGGGTCACCATAGATGAACAGTTGAATTTTAACACTCACATTAATGAAATATGTAAGAAGGCGAGTCAAAGAGTAGGTGTAATGTTAAGGCTTAAAAAACTTGTCCCTACCAATGCTAAATTAACTCTGTATAAATCAGCCATATTGCCTTACTTAACCTATTGCCACCTGACTTGGCATTTCTGTAGTGCTACCGACAAAAGAAAGCTTGAACGGGTCCAAGAAAGAGCACTACGCGCAGTTTTCCTAGATAAGCAATCAAGCTACCAAGCATTGCTGGACAAAAGTGACCTAACGACTCTTCAGAACAGAAGACTGCAAGATATTGCTATCCTTATGTATAAGGTGAAACACAAACTATGCCCCATCAAAATATCCGAGCTATTTCACGCGCATTGCTCACCCTACAACTTGAGGACGGCAGAGTTCGCCATTCCCAGATTTAGGACCAATAAATATGGTAAACACTCGCTCACCTACCTGGGACCAAAGTTGTGGAATAAGCTGCCAAGCGAAATCAGAACTCTCCCATCATTATTTAGTTTCAAAAATTGTATTCGTAAATTTGATCTAGGTGTAATGATAGACGACGACAATTGCTCCAATTGCATCCTTTGTAATTCTTAATCTTTATAAATCAATTATTTCATTAGTTGATAGTTAGTAGGTTTTTTAACTATATTATATTGTTAGGTAACTATAATTGCATCCTTTGTAATTCTTAATCCTTTGTAATTCTTAATCTTTTTAAATCAATTGTTTCATTAGTAGATAGTTAGTAGGATTTTAACTATATTATTTTGTTAGGTAACTATATTATATTGTTAGGTGTCCCCAATTAGTAGAGGGGTTCTTAACCCCATCGGCTAGAGATTCCAAGACACATTAATAAAGTTCATGTATGTATGTATGTATTTGTATATTGTTGGCAGAACTCTCCTCTTAATTTGTTCTTTGTGTTTTCACTCTCAAGAAATTGAAATTTCAGAAAACAACCTTCTTCTTAAACTAATGAGACACAAAACATCTTCACTTTGCCATTCTTTCTTAATGTTTTGAAATATAATGCTTTGCAGAAAGTGATGAAATCAGCAAATGATGCTATAAATCAAAATGCAGAAGTTGATCTTCGAATGTAAGTGTGTTTTTAAGTTTAAACTATTTAAAGTTGTAAACAGTGGTAGCCTGGTAAAGAAGTTTAAAGAAGAGAACAGCACAATAGGTTTAAGTTCGTTTCAGCAGAAACATGTGGCTTTAATTTTCTATTTAACTTAACTTTTCGTTTTCTTTCTCTGAAATTTATTAGCATACATTACCATACACAAAAACAAAGGAAAAACAAAAATTTAAAGTTCTAATAAAAAATTAACTGTAACATACATGTAGTAAGATATCTAACAAAATAATATTGCAATTACAGGAATAGGAAGAATGTAAAAACTTATACGTGTAGTGTTAACGTCAATTTAGAATCTTTTGTTCAATGAAATTAAGCGTTTGAGGGAGGACTTTTTCCCAAAGATCATGAAATATTGGCTTCTTTTATTTTTTTGTTGAAAAGAGGTGTTGAAGGGCATGAGCAGAATCTTTCAGAATTTTTTTTTTTAACCACAATCAAACAAGAACAAGTAAAACAACAAATTTTATTCAAGCCCGACTGTTAATAAAAGTTATATTTATTACATATAATTTTCCTTCTCCTAAATAGCTAAGTAACTAGTCAATACATAAAGACATATAATCTTTATTTCACCTCAAACTTTAGAGTAGATCGGTTAGTAATCAAGCCTACTTCAAGCTTTATTTCCATTGCCTGAGAAAACAGCCAAAATTTTGTGACACTACCACTATGTCCACTGTTTCTCAGGCTAATATTTCCAAGAAAGAAATTAAGATCTCAAAAACTAATAATAGAAATTAATGTAACTGGTCAAACATATCAACAATATTATTATTCTTAACCTTATTTTGTTCCATCAGAATTAAGAGTATTTGTTTTATTACCCCTAAAAGCATCATAAAAGCCTCATTACTGTCAAACCAACAAAACCATACACCTGAAATATTTCAGGAATGTTTATTGTGTTACAACCAATCAAATATCAGGAAATGCAATCTAGCCACAAATCATTAACATTCTTTCATGCAGTTTAGTTTCTCAAGCCTTCCTGATTGGCGTTTTCTTGCAACATAATAACATTCCAGACATATTTCGGGTGTTCACGGTTTTATAAGTTTGACAGTAAGCATTATACATGTATAATGATAACTATTACTATATTATACTTTTATTGTTATTTTTATGTTTCAGGAAATCAGCCACTCAATCAGAGGGTACAAGCAACAAACTTGAGAAACATTTGGAAGATTTTTATACCGCATGTGACCAGCTGCAACTTTATTTGGTAATAATTTAGAACATTGTTTCTATCTTACATGTATGTCTGAAGTAGAAGTTGCCAGAAATGTTTGCTCATTTCTGCTTTGTGTTAGTGGCATTTTAACCAAGAGTATCAAGAGATAATGGTTTATGGCTTTATACAGCATGACAATTTGGGTCAGAGAAGTGTTTTTTTTGTTGTTATTTCCATCACAAGGGGAAACACTGAAAAAAAAAACCATCAGACAAAACCAGATGGGGTGTAAAGATTTACAACGATACCATCAGATGATGGTTATGATTGGCCATGCAGGATTATTAGTAGCACTGTAGTCACATTAATGATGGTTCACTTTTATCTCCAAGTCTAAGTTGAAACACTTTGAATGCTGTGGTCAATGTCAAGTGACTAATAGTGGGCTAAACAATAAAGCAATGCAGTACTGATAAAACCAGGAAGGATAATTTAATTAATCATAACTATAACAAAATACTCTTATCTGATTGGCTGTCAGCAGCTCTGATTTCAGTGTTAACAGGACAGTGTATTAAGACAGTACACATCTAAGAACAGTGTAATGGACAGCTCATGCCATCGCACACACGCTCTTGAAAAAAAATGGGTTCTTTTATCACATCACATCTAGCAAAAAACTCTTAGGTCTTGTCTATTAATTTTTAAAAAAGTTTAAATTATCACAAATTTTGTTATAGTTATGATCAATTGTTAATAACACATTGTGTCGCACGATTCAGTTTGTAATCATGCTAAGCCTGATTTTTTCTCTAGGAAATAATGAGAGAAACAGAAAACCAAACACAGCTCAGCATGAAGTACACACCTAAACCTGTCTCCAACAGCAAAACAGAAAATGTAACAGGCACGCAGACATACACTGAGTATTTGTCTACTGTAAGGACACAGATTGCTGCCGCTAAAGAACTGCAAGAACTTTTGTCAGATTTCTGCCTTGCTCAGTTGTCATAGAATGTTATTGCAAATGTCTGCCACAGTCTCCAAGGTGCATCTTATGATTTGCAAGAAACGTTTTCATATTTCTGCAGGGGCCAGGCATCACAGAAGATGCAATTGCCTGCCAGATGCGTAAATTTGTGATAAGTCTCTAATGATTTGCAAGAAGTGCTGTCAGATTTTACATGGTTGGGTTGCTTACCACAGTATGTGAAATGCGTGTAATGATTTGTAAGAAATGCTGTCAGATTTCTGCAGGGGTGATAGAAGTTGAAATTAACTGTTTCACCAAGCAGGTGGCAATCTTATCATGTGCAAAATCTGCTGTCAGATTTCTCCTTGCTTACTTATTAGTTTGTGAGGTGCATCATGTGATCAATAAGACAGTCTGTGAGAATTCTGCGACCTAGATCTTCAGTTTTTAAGTTTGAAAGGTTCAATTTTATAATTTGCAAAACATGCTGTCTGTGTTTTGTCTGGTTTTGCTGCATCAGGTCTGTCTCAATTTACATTTGAAACATGAGGAATACAAGATATATTGACACATTTCTGCTTAGCTCAGCTTTCCCAGATGAGCAGTAAAAGACTGTGATTGACTGCTTGGGAAATCAAAGGCAAGAAAGTTTTAATTAAGCTCAGATGTCTTGCACTGTAAAATGGACCTTGATAAGGACTTTGATAAGCACCTTGAAATCATGAGCTTTCGTCTGTGTTAAAATAAGAATTACAAGAAACTTGACCATGCAGAAAGAGGGCCATTATACTTGTACTGGTATTCGCAAAATGACAAATCTACCAAGAGGAGTAAGACCAGAGTAAAAGGAAATCGACTTGTGACAGCTCTGAAAATTAAGAGAGTATAAGATTGATTTATTCCATTAACTGGAAGGCATTGATATGTATTAAATTTTAATACATATCAATGCCTTCCAGTTATACATTTTTGGTTCTCCACATTAAAGGGGCTGTGTCACAAGTATGTTACAGTACTGTTTTAGGTCAATTCTGTACTGGAGTCATTACTTACTGCCTTTACTGATATGCAAAATATTCCTATAGAGTTATGAAGATATCAAAAAAAATTCATCAGGGAGCACTGACCATAATAATGATAATATTTTTGATGATTCTTGTAGGCGTAGCATTTAAACTTGAAAAGATTGCCCTTAATTTTTCAAGTTTCAAACCTCCATCCTTGCCATCCATTGCATGAAACAGCAGGGAATAGTCTCATTGCCTAAATAATAATTATTTATTATAACAGAAACCCCTTATGAGTTTCTGATTATAATTATTATAGTCTACAATAACAAAATTAGACCATTATTTTTTTATTCCATTGATGCGAAAAACGTTTTAGCTTACATATAGCCCCTTCAAGGCAAGGCAAGTGAAAAAAGATACATGTTTTACTGTTCACAACTGAATATAATAATTATATTAAGAAATCCACATAATTATATTATATGGATTTCTTAAGCTAACATCTAAAACAAAATATGAACCCCACAACAAGCATATAACTGTAACCATGGTTTAAAGCAGGTAGATGTTTAAATGCATTGCTTCTGAACACCTTTAACCAGAGAAAAGAAAAAAAATGTGAAGAAATAAGATGGCGGTCTCAAAGAGCCCTTGTTTGACTTTTGACAATGAAATTTTGGTAAAATTGAAGATCAGCTCCCTAAAAAATCTGTTGGCGGTCTGTCAGTGGACTGTCAACCAACAGTTCAGCTTTTTCAGGTTGTTATGCAATCACAATGGTTTGCAAAACACTGAAAGATTTTGAATAATTTGGTTTCTCAATAAATAAAAAAATAGAACAAGCGTGTATGTTAGAATGTGGAGGCTCCTAAAAGAGCCATTTTTTTTGTTTTTAACGGGATGCAATTCGGCAATGTGGCATAAGCATGGTTTGGAAGTGGTTTCCTGGGTACTGTCACTGACAGTTGAATTCATCGACTGGGAGGTAACCTGGAAGTTTCTCTCTGAAGGTGCCACTTATTCTCTTCAGCTTTTTCTGCACCTGGCTCCAAAGGCCCTCTATGGTGTTAGCGTGGGTCCCAGTTGTAGGATGCACGAAGTTACCCAGATGGATGTAACTAACGTCGTTCAGGTTGAAATGAGGTGAAAATATTTCCAAGATAGATTTGTTTGCAAATATTGAAACAATTTGAACCAAGAGCTCCATGATACCAAAAAGTGTGTTAACAGTTGCCAACAGATTGCAGACAGATAACCGACAAGTGACCAACAGTTGACTGACAGTTACTTTAGTAACTGACTGTTGGCCAACACTTTTCTGTTTAAAATGGGAATACTCTCAGCCAACCGTTGATTGCTTGTTGGCTAACTGTTGGTTGTTTATTGGCCGAATGTTGGTCAACAGTAAACCAAGAGATTTTTAGGGAGCTGTTTGTCACTTTTACCAAAATTATTTACAATTAGCTGCCAAAATCTCATTGGATCTTAGTACTACTTAGTGTATGCAATCTTATTAGCAGTCCATCACCCTGCAGCACACATACCAACACACAAAGCCACAAAAATACATACACTGAGACCACTGACATATGAGCTAAAAACAAAAAGAGGAGATCAGACACCCACAACTGTCCTGACAAGACAATTATTCATGAGGGATGGACCAGTGCAAATACAGAGAGTTACAGTCACTGTCAAGACACCTAATTACATCTGACTGGGAGTTGAAGAGTGTGATGCTTGAAACAAAATAAAAACAGCTGAAGGGAGCCACAATGCAGGGAAAATTGCTGCTAGTTTAAAAGAAACTCTTCAAGTCTGAAACTCTGAGACTCCAAGAAGAGTCACTGATAATGCTGCCAATGAGATCATAGAATTTGTCTTGAAGTGAAGAAGCGTCTAAGAGGTTCCAGAGGTTCCCGTCTTTGTGATAAAGGGAGGAAGCTTGTCACTTTCGTTCATCAGTCATCCAGTATTGGTGATGCCTCGAAGGTCAAACATAAACTGCTGCTCAGCGATGATGATACTTTATGGCAAACCATTCTATCTTTAAATCATGTCAAATCATTCCTGTTGACTTAATAATGGCGAATTAATGTTTTTTATTAATGGTGTTATTTGAAGAGAAAATATGAAACGGTAAATGTAAAACCAAGAAGATTGTTAATTTGTTTTTAGGGAGTTTAAGCAACAATGTTTTTTAGCTACGCATGTCAACCAGAAGTAAACTTTTTGCACTTCTCGGTGGCATCATGCTATATACTTCCGGTTCACTTGTGTTGCTCAAATACGTTTTTGCTTAAGCCCCCTTTTAATAAAACCTGCCCACAGTCAAAAGACTAAAAAAACTTCGTATTGCATGTACTTTGTACTGTGGAAAATGTATAAAATTCTTATGAAGAGATTATTCAGATTATAATTGATCATGGGTCAGTTGGGTCAATCCAGTGTTATTTCCGATGATCGATTATAAAATCTCAGCTGATTCCCGACACTGCCTGAAGATAGAACGTAAGGTTATGAACAGTATGTCAACGATCTTGTTTTTCCTGATGACAAAAGGTAGGAAGGTGGTAAACAGCTGTTCCGTAGCGTGCAGAAGAGCCTACTTTACTGCGCTTTTCACAAACATGTGAATTCTGAAGTTCAAAAGCCAACTGACGATTGCGTTCTTCGCTGCCGTCAATCATCTAACGGACCTCTTAGGAAACAAAACTTTACTTTAACGGGTTCAAAAGGTCAAAGTTTGTGATTTGTGATTGGTGGATTTCGATCCGTTTTGTGTGTTTCTGTGTTTCAAGGTTTGTTGCTTGTGATCGTAATTATGATTGACAGCGGCAAAAAACGCAATTGTGAAGACGGCTTTTCAACTTTATAGTTCGCATGTTTGTGAAAAGCGCAGTAAGATAGTTAAGTTCGGCGGGGAAACTATTTTAGTTAGGCTTGACTTTACATGGAGAAGGAAAGAGGAATGAATACTTCCAATCAGGTGAAGTACCAATCAATGATTGTGATCAAGGACAGCACCGATATACACTGTACAAACCAAGGCATACCCTACAGTGACCATTTGGAAGAACAGATATATTGAAGTGGACAATAGACTGTATGCATTGAGTGATTATATGTAACAAAACATTACGTTTTTTGACCCTTACTTGTGAAACTTGAACTACTTTTTTCACCCTTTCTCTTTTCACTCTGGGCTGGATTGTTCAAAGAAGGGTTAAGATAACCCAGGGTTAGTGCGAAATTGGAATTCAGATATGGGAGCTTAAAAGTAAATTCTGTTTAATTCTTTTCGTCAACAAGTTGATGATTGGATGCCCGTAAAAATAACAGCGAAAGTTATCCGAGAAAATGCTTTTGAACAAAAGAAAAAGAAACCCAGGTTAAAGTTAACCTTGGGTTAAGCGCTAATCAATCTTCAAACAACTGGGCCCTAGTTTATAAAATAGGTTTCTAAGAGAAGCCTATTTTATATCACAAGTTATCTTGTTTTCTCTCGAGAATTCATCCTTCCTGAATCAAGCAATCTAGCTGTCACCACCCTGGGGATACAAACCCCTTCTTGACTGCGGGTTTACTGATTCCGTACGTCCCTCCTTATTGGCTGACAACACCTCCATTGTTGTTTGCCTTATAAATTTTAACTCGCAATACCCCCAGCACTTCGGAAGAAAACATTGCACATTTACCCATCTCAGTACTCCCTATTTAATGAGCAGTTTACCTTTGGCACACATAATCTGAAGGTATAAAAGTAAATGCGAGAAATTCGATTCAACAAATCAACCACACAAACCAGCAGACCGTTTCTTTGTAGTAGGTAATAATCTGATGTTTTAATCTCATATCATGGATGACAAATTACTCCTTGACTTTGGTGCGAAATTTCAGCATTCATTTATTATATTTCACAATTGCTATGACAGCAATCCATATGTGTCAGTGCCAAGATGGCAGTAAAGAAAAATGACGAAGTCAAGGCATTAAAAGACACTAAAGAAAACCTAAACACATGAAAGAGCACATCAAGAAGGCTTCTAGTGGGGTTCTGGATCAATAATCAATTTTATGAACTATGTCAAAAACCTACGACTGTGAACGTAACTTGTCCACCAAGGTATTTATAGGTAATCAAATGGTATACTCGTGAAAGTGTATGAACTTGTTCACTGATTCACTCGCAACCATTTGATTAACATACTTATTTTCAATTCAATTAGCCCGTGTAAAGACGCCCCCCTCCCCTTTAGAAAACAATTGGGGAGAGAGGCGTCTGTGAATCGCCGTCGTTGACCGTGTTCCCATTTACCCAGAATGTGGGGGAAAGCCTCTGGTTGTAATGTAAATGCCATGACGCAAGTTATTTCCGGTGTTGTGATTGGTGAATGAATGTCGGAATAGATTCCCTGGGGAAAACCTCAGCCTTTGTGGACAGTTTATCACCAGGCGGTGTGCGTCACGAGATTCAACCAATCAGAATGCGTCATTTGTAGAGAGATTTTCGCGCTCGGAAAGAGCTGTTTTCAGAGGTATACGTGGTGAAATTTTCGCTTTATTCCAAGCTTGTGTTGGTAATTTCGACACTATACCGCCGTGAAAAGTTGTTGGAACACTTTATCGCGAGAGCAGTTGCGTTACTTTTAAATATTTTGCTTTCTTGAGCGTTTGTGACAAGTTTGAATTGCTCGGTCATGTGCAGGCCGCCATGATGATTTGAGTGTTGTTTTTGCCGTTCTTCTTGGATTTATTGCTGGTTACTGTTAGCGGTTTTATCGAATTATTTTGGCCATCTTGTTACTTCAACCTTTCTTCTTTGCAAATTTCGGGGTCTNAGTTTGCTCTATTTTAAAGCACAAAAGCTAAATAAGTCTGAATATTGTAATAACCTTTGGAAACAAAACATTTTTCATAACCCAGTGCGGAAACTGAAAGCGTGACTTTAAAATAATTTGCACGCGGTGTGTGTTACGTGTATGCAAATCTTTGTGTAAACTTATGTGAGGGAATAAATTGTTATAAATCTCTACCAAAACACAAAACCATTATCGAAGATCCAGACAACATCATACAGGATTTTAAAACTGTGAGGTTAGGTTACTTTATAACTAGGTTACTTTATAACAAGATCGATATACTGCGCTCACTTCAATGACCTCACAGACAAGATCGTGGTTTATTTCACTGTTTATTTCTGCGGCTGTAGCTTCGGTGAAATTCCGATTGTGTTGCAGCTGTTCGGCTCTTTCGGTCTGTTTTCCCCTTGCCTGATAGAAGATTTATTTGCGGATAAGGATTTCAAACGGGCGCTGTTTTCAAAATCATATAAACTTGTGGATGAAAATAAAATTGTTATGAGAGACGATTTCTCACCTTGCTGTTTGCACGCGCTCCCCCTGCTTTGCCGGTAACAAAGTCCATCAAATATATAAACACTTCTAATGGACGAATTTTTGTTAGTTAAGCAAATCCAGGTATGAACTACAGATCTCTTTCACTATGAGATAAAAACATACATATAAACCAAACAGTACATAAAATCTTATGAGAAGCAGGAAATAAGTCGCCGCTCAAAGTCGGCTAGATCGCACGATCGTCTCCGAATCGCGATAAACGTCTTGAAATTGCCTTATGAAGCAAGCATCTAAGGCCACTATGAGATCTTGAAAACTCTCGAAATCGCTCTCTTCCGTAATGTTTTTCGGAAAAGGCAGCAGTGTTTTGATCCCTGGGTTTGATTCACTTCTCTTACGAGATGCGAACTCGACCGTGTCACTATTGAAATGAGGCACAGTAACAGTTTTACCCATGAACCTTTGTGGGCCGTGACGCACACCGCCTGGTTTATCACATTTATCATGTTTATATATGCTACTTGTACTTTGGCTCTCTGGAATAAGTATGTGAAGTAAGACCACTTATGTTTGTTGCACCGGTTGTTCTCTGCCGGTGGCTTTTGCAAATAAAAGAGAAGGACGAACAGAATTCAACGCTTTCTCAGATATTTTTTTTCTGGATTTTAGCGTGGACATTACGTGGAAGGTTTTTCGGCTATTGTACAGACGCCGCCTGGCCCCCTGTAGGCAAGTTACACTCATATAGGCAAGATTAACCCATTCGCTCCTGGAGATTTTGCCGAAAAACAAGTTTTGAAGCTAGTCGAGTGGTTTTCTGGTCACTGTCGTGCTATAAAGAGCTTAAGCTTACCACAAAACCGTTCACAGGTCGCACACTTCACGGCCTTCTGATCCAGATGCAAAATATTAGCTTGCGAAGTTCGGGCATCCGTTCGCGCATTTTGGGTTTAAAAGTGACAACACTCTTACTTTTCGCTTTCTCTCCTCCCCTCTTTTTTCGCTTTTCTTGCCTGATTTTTTTTCTCTTGCTGGGCATTTAGTAGGCTTCATTTTGGTGGGAAGAGTTTTTAGGAAAGCTTTTAGGATCTTAGGATTAGGTGAAAGGGAAGGTAGGTGGGCAATGGAACAAGATTTTCATGGAGATTTTCAGGTCAATGTTACATGGTTTTTGTCCTTTTTCTCCGGTTTCCTTGACTGAATTGTGCTCATTCTGGTATGGTTTGAAAGATCTCTTCACTCTGCACAAGTTAGCGGACAAAGTTGCCCTTGACCGTTAAAACTGATGATGTCACAAGCAATAGAAAGGACGTGGATCCGCACGGGCGGCTCAGGGGCGAATGGGTTAAGGACAGCGATTCACAAAGGTCTCTCTCCCCGACTTCTTTTCTAAATTCAATGTAACAAGAAATTAAAATTAATAAAGAAATAAAAAATTAAGAAACTTTAACACGATAAACTTCAGCGCTGATTTTTACCCATATTTTGAAGATGACAATAATGGTATTGTACAATCTGAACACATCTGGACGAGAACGTGTTGATTTGTTTCAGACATTCCAGTTTACATTTTGAGCAAATAAAGGAGAGAACACCATTAAAAATACGAGAAAAAAACACTACACTTGATTAACCTCAGGCTGAAAAACTACCAGCTTTAGATTCAAGAGGAATTTAAAGCGTTGGTATTTACCTTACCTCGTGGTGTTAACAGCTCCTTCCTTGCCAGACAAAATGGATAACAGATAAATTGACCACTGTGGATCCAGGGAAACCAAGTCATCGGACTCAAATTGTGTGGTGAAATACTGAACTGTATCACAATCGCACAAAAAGTGCAACAGCTCATCACTGTCTTCCTCCAGTTCAAAATGACATATTCTCTTCACTAATCTCTTGAATTGTTTTAAAGTAAGACACTTAAATCGTTCAATAGCTAGGCAATGAAGTACTTTCTCCACTTTAAGCCATTGCAGGGGAATTTCTTGCTTTTTGAGAAGTAATGTGGGGGCCAAGGAAATGATTGTTTGTCTCAGTCTTGAAATATTTACATCCTCCTGAGTTTGTCCAACACAGGTGTTGTCCACAATAAACATTTCATCAACAATATGTGGTAAAAATCCTTCTCCACGAAATCTATCCAAGATGACATTCAATGGTTTCAAAGGATCACCAACAACTTTGTCTGCATGTGTTCCCACTAAGATTACTTGGGGATGGCCAGGGCTTGAAATAGTTTCAGTGCAGGTATCTTTAGAAGAAGAAATCAAGTTCATCCATCTCACAAGGTGATCAAGATTGGATTCCATACTGGCTGCATTGCTCAAATCAGACACCAGGACATATATGGCTTCTCCTGGCATAAAGTTCGGAGGTAACTCATGGTCAAGGGCCAAACTTGAAAATTCGCATAACACTTTCTCAGTTACAGAATGGAAGGAATGAAAAAAGCCACACCGCAAAGGGAGTTCCTCAGAATCAATTGTTGCACTCATTTCTAAAACAGAAGCAGAGGACATTTATGTAACATGTGGCAACAATTAATTGGTGCTGAAGAAATGTGAAGACTGACTAGTTTGAATATCAGAAAAAAAAGATGTTCTTTCAGTATTTTAAGGGCCCAATGCACAAAGAATGTAAGAAATAAATTTTGGTTAAAACAAAAAGTTGTTCAAGAATTGCTGAATTTCCTTAAACCTTAGTTTTTCAGGTAAGCAAAGCAAAAATACAGCCATAGAGACACTGATTTTTACTTTATTAGAATTTATATAACAATAATACAGTAAATGATTTGACCTGCAGATAGCAAAGGCTAATCAAAGTGGGTCAGTTCTTACACAATTTTGTTACGGGTATTTTAACTATGAATTATTCGATTCACTACTTAAGGTGGCTCGACTGGATTTTTTGGGGTTGATACCTCCCAAGTTTGAGCATTAACTACGTCGGCATGAGTAAAGATATGGAAAAAAGGTTACCACAACTGTATTATATAAAGATGAAAATTTCTTATGATCTGGGTTTTATTGCAATCGGAGTCGCCATGGCAACGTAATGACGCCATTACGTTTTTCATTTATCTTTGTGTTTCTCTGTTCCAGGAGTTTTTTGAAGAAATCGCTTTAGGGAGTATGTACCTGCTATAATTGCCTCCATTATGGCGTAGTTTGAACAAATTCTATGAGAGCGTTTTCGAAATATTTTGAAATGTAGTTTTAAGAATAATAAAAACAGTGAAATAGCATGCTACCTACACAATTCGCTAATATTTTAAGAAAATGATAAGCTTTGGAAACGAGGCTTCATCTCGTAGTGGTTTGATTCCATTGAAAACTGCATACGAAAAAAGAGGGGAATTGCTCTGGGCGATCGCGAGTAAGAAGAATTTTATTAACTTGCATTCAGCTGCTTTTGATACAGTTTTTGGACGTAATTTGGTCCATGCCTAAAAATTTCGCATTTTTCCAAAAACCGCTCGATAAATTTTTTTATAAATTCGACAATCCCGAGATCAATTGTCAAGAAATATTCCCTGCAAGTTTCAAGAACATTGAAAATAGGGAAGGCTTTTAAATAGGGCCTCAAATATAACCAATATTCCCCCCAGATCTTGTGTTTACAAGTGAGCGCCCTCATTATTCACTGGCATTGTTTTCAAGTTTCATATGCACGTGCACAACTAGCAAAAGTTATAAATTTGCATCAAAAAGAACTCTCGATTACTTTCCGAAGAAATATCTGGAGTATGCTAATAATTGGCTTGTCGTCACAGACAGCAGTGAGAGCCGAAACGGTGAACGTCACGGCTCATCGTGTAGGATGGAATACTTAATTATCTTACTCGGGTTATAACATCACAGAAACTCTCACAAAGAGTTGCTCTGATGTTATAATATATCATTAATCTCTTTACCCGGTAATTAGCATATCCCGGAGATTTAACCGAGGGTCCTTTTTGATGCAAATTCTATCTTTTTGCTAAATGTGCACGTGTATATGAAACTTGAAAACAATGCCAGTGAATAATGAGGACGCTCACTTGTAAACACAAAATCTGGGGAAAAAATTGGCTATATTTGAGGCCCTATTTAAAAGCCTTCCCTGTTTTCAATGTTCTTGAAACTTGCAGGGAATATTCCTTGACAATTGATCTCGGGATTGTCGAATTTATAAAAAAATTTATCGAGCGGTTTTTGGAAAAATGCGAAATTTTTAGGCATGGACCAAATTACGTCCAAAACCTGTATCAAAAGCAGCTGAATGCAAGTTAATAAAATTCTTCTTACTCGCGATCGCCCAGAGCAATTCCCCTATTTTTTCGTATGCAGTTTTCAATGGAATCAAACCGCTATGAGATGAGGCCTCGTTTCCAAAGCTTATCATTTTCTTAAAATATTAGCGAATTGTGTAGGTAGCATGCTATTTCACCGTTTTTATTATTCTTAAAACTATATTTCAAAATATTTCGAAAACGCTCTCATAGAATTTCTTCAAACTTTGCCATAATGGAGGCAATTATGGCAGGTACATACTCCCTTAAGCGATTTCTTCAAAAAACTCCTGGTACAGAGAAACACAAAGATAAATGAAAAACGTAATGGCGTCATTACGTTGCCATGGCGACTCCGATTGCAATAAAACCCAGATCATAAGAAATTTTCATCTTTATATAATACAGTTGTGGTAACCTTTTTTCCATATCTTTACTCATGCCGACGTAGTTAAGGCTCAAACTTGGGAGGTATCCCCTAAAAAAATCCAGTCGAGCCACCTTAACAAAAGAAAGTTTGAACTCAATTGAAAATAGTTGTTGCATCGACCTTGTGGTCTTTTTTTTTTTTTCATTTTATTTATTCCTTGGTATCCCTGGATGGAATTTGAAGTCGCCAGAAAGTATCCGACCTTGAATGGAAAAAGTGGAGGTAGAATAATTATTGGACTTAAAATACATGCCTCTTCTCGGAAGTTTAAACACAGTTGTTGCCGCAGCATTACGATAATAAGCAATCTTTGGCCCGAGTACGCTTTCGCTCGCAATCCAGTGTGAGGCTGAGTTGGGAAGTTTCCTAAAGAGCAAGTCAAAATGGCGAGATTCATCCTAGAAAATGCACTCACGCCATCGATAAAAGTTTTACTTGAGTATTCCAATAGAGAATTCCACTCAAGTTCACTATATAACAGAGATATATGGACAAGGTAAAGGCAGCATTCCTTGACCAGAAACAAATCAGATATTTCAGAAACAAGTCGACCTGCAACTATTTTTCCCACTGCAATTGTGCAACCTGGGGTCAATTTAATAAAACTTTTACACTTGTACTTTACAAGTGTAGCCATTGTTTAGGAGTCTAAAAACAATAGCTACACTTGTAAAAGTCTTATTAAATTTACCCTGTACGGAGCCAAGGCATGTTCAAGTCAAGCTATCTACTTTCAATAGCTAGTTTGTGACTCACAGCTTCAATACAATACGGTGAATTTTTCACCTATGTGCTCTCTCTATGGTGGTCAAAGGAGAGCACTTACTCTAGAGACCCATCAAGCTAATAGTGACTCTAAAGAAACTAGAGGTTTTTCTGCTATTCATTCGTGGAAGCTCTTGTGAAGCCCTTCAAATGACAATCCATTCATGCAACAGAATGTATTCCAGGCAGTTTAGCCTTGCATAAGGGCTGGTAAAAACTACATGAAGATGACTAGTAGCTTATTTGCCAAGAGATACCAAGGTTAAATCTCAGCCCTTTGCTGTGAATTAATTTATGTTTGTCAATGGCTTTTTCAGTGTCTTAAGAAAGAAACATACCACTACCTAACATTTTCCTTGCATTTCTACCAGTTAGGCAATTTCTTCATGAAAATGAGGGATCCATATTCATTTTTTCACAGAGTTGTCAGCCAAACAAGTAAGACTGATGGCATAATTGTCCGTTCACAATTTGGGTTGCCCGGACAAAAGTGTAGATTTATGTAAGCTTAAAAGAATGGTGAAAAAGTTGTGTGCAACTTAAACATTTCTGATTAGAATTTATTTCCGTTATTGTTACTATGAAAGGGTTTTAACTAAACTGTAAAGTACAACAGGCTACTGGCCTAGGCTAAACACAGTGTATTTACGTGTGGTAAGTAGCCACAGTCGGACAGTCAAGACGGTGCGCTTCAATTTCCCTGTATAAGGCAGCAGCTCTTGTCCCACCTTTTTGTGAAAATTCTTCTAAAAACGTCAGATCTTAAAGTGTATAAGGCATCGTTGGGTTCTGCTTCACCTTTTTTTTTCTGCCAAACGCGACGAAATGCCCTCTAAAAAACGCCAGATGTTAATGATTTCTGTCACGTTTTCTACAAATGGCCTCTGAATGCAGTACTTCACCAAAAACTCAGGCTGCAATCGTTTTGTAGAAAATGCTGCACCATCAAAGATGGAGCCCAAACTTATGGTTTCATTGCAGACTAAAGCTGCTTGTTATTCTCCACTAGTCTAAGTTTTAAGTGGATCAGAGGAGTAATCAAAACACAGGGAAAATTCATAAAATCATACAAGAACTTTTGAAAAGATTTTGTGGTTGAGCAAAAATTCACTCGTCCGAAGGGCGACTTTTGAAGTTATTTTAATCGTCCATAAGAGATTGTAGTCGTCTGGGATGACCAGACAACTGGGAATATGGATCCCTGGAAAATATAGATATCTTCCCATCATAATCTCTTGGATCAAGGCATTCCACTGCAAAATTTGCCGGCATCCGAAAAGCTGGCGATTTTTTATTTCTAACAAAATTGTCATCTGTGCTCTTTATACATTGGCCCCTTTTAAGCTTTAATAGCCAGGGAGAAACAAAGACAAAGATATTCCCGACTTAAAACCACATCATGAGTACAGGCGACATGTACTCATCAGAAATATGTATCAATATAACTGCAACATTTAACATGCACCAGAGTTATACATGTACATGTACACAGATATACAATAATTAAACTCACTGAAAATAAAAAAACAGAACCACTTTGACTTAGCACAAATACTACTTTTAGTTCATGAAACATTACATACAGATCTTTTTCAGACTACTTTAAGACTAGGAATGTACACAGGTTAGAAGAACAAGGAACGCAAAAAAGAGAGATTCATCAACCTCTCTGGAAGGCCCTGTTCATAATGAGCACAACATGTTACTGAAAAGAACCAAAAATGTGTTTAGTAACTTCAATCCAAAAAAACAAAAACAATGAAAGATGTGTTTTGGTTGTCCAAGAGATAATCTCCATATCGTATAGAGTATTTGCATTACCTTCTAAAAGGTGGGTAGGCCACTCCATGAAGGGCCTTCTAGGAGGCCACCACTCCTCTACATGAAACGGCAAATCTCCACGGCTACTGACTCCTCGTACTGAAAGGGGCGCCCGAGGTCGTGCAGGAAACTCGGTAAGTTCCCAAACAGTTTCACTCCAAGCCATTAACTCATCCTGGTCTAGTGGTACATCCATGCTGAACTTTCGATGTAAGGCATTCAGCAGACTTGACTTTCCTGCTCCAGTTGCACCAATTAAAATAACTCGCACAGGTACAACCATTGTTTTACCATTCTTTAAGGCTCTCATATAAGCTGCTATGGATTTGCTTCCTCTAGATCTCACCGCTGGCGGGACAAGGCCTGAAAACAGGAGATACATTACATTGAAACAAAATTTTATGAAATGATATTTGTTAGGATACAGCAAAAAAATAGAATTACATACAACGTATACTGTTATAACCCAGCACTGAATAGGATGGTTGATATAGTAAAAGAGAAACTCTCTTTTTTTGAGGATTAAAATGGACTACTGTTCAGTTGTACAGCCTTCCCAACGATGTTTGTCTGTGACTATAGTCTTGGTGTGGTAAGACAGTGTGCATGTGTAATTTCCGGTACTGCAGCAAACCAACTGAAAATTATCCTTGAAATTACATTCATTGACCATTCTAAATAACTGGAAGTATGGTACCCTAATCAGTTTCATAGTTATACACAAGAACGACTTAAAATAAAGACAGATTTGAAGGGAGATGTAAAAGCACAAGTAGCCAAAACTCACAATTTGAACATTTACATTGCTGCACGACCAAAGGACACATACTTATCGGTTGGTGATCCAAGATAAAAACGTGTTAAAAAAAATTCACCCTCTGGCATATATAGTGCATGTGCAAGGTGTAAGAGTATGGGTAAAATGGGCCAGCAGACTAAAGCAGAGTACTTGGCCACTTGCCCTTGAAGCCAGCCTGAGGTAAGCAAAGCCATATGTTTCCGGTAAACACAGTGATCACAAGAATGAATGCCGTCATTTTCTAATGAGTGAAATGTATGTACCTATTGTACACACTGTTAATAGTAAACCTACAAGAGAACAACCTTAATGTGAACAGACCAAGACAGAGTGTTTCTGTCTGCTCTTATCGACTCAAGAGTCTTAGCATGCAATCTTTGGTTGATATTGTGAGAAAAAGGGCAGATTGGACTTTTGTCTTGAAGATTCTTGTTAGAGTGCCTCTTTTCTGTTTCCAGAATACATGACAGAGAGACTTTCTATTTTTAAGTTTTGTGGATAGCCTCACTCACTAAGGTGCCTTTGGAATACTTCCTCTCTTTTGGAAAATTCTTTTTAGACGAATTTGCTCTGAGTAGCTGGAGCTTTGCCTTTGCATTTGATAAAACATCTCTAGATCCCTAATGGGTGGCAAGATGAGAAGTGTGTATTCACCACATAGACCAGGCGAAATTGGAAACAATGGTTATGCAAAATTGGGGGGTAAACAAAGTGCATTATGGTCTATGCAAAAAAGGTAATAAGTTGACTTAAAATGTGTCCCTTTTTTGATAGTTGATGTGCTTTAAAATCTTTTCCCTTTGTACACAATTGTATATAGAAATGAGATTCTTTCAGAGATTTCAACTGTAAATAGGTGAATTGTGTTATTTTCCCTCTTCTGGTGTCCCAGGGAGAATCGTCTACATATATGTAACTTTTCCAACTGACTGGCTTTAGAGTGCTTTCATTTAACTGAATCTACACTCACCATTTTATTTCATGAAAGCAACGGCAACCTTTGATCCTATTGCTGTTCCATATGTTTGAAGTTTTTTTTCCTTTTTTCTTTCCACTAGGGTTATTCTTTAGTTATGCATTGCGCACCTATTGTGATTAACATGGCGGCTATTGTGGTGACCTAACATTCTGTTTCTCTTTTTTCAAAAAAATAAATAAATAAGCAATCACTTTCTTTTTCTAGAATAAATAGACTAATTTTCATTGTAGAAAAAGAAACAATCGTTGGCAGTATGTTCAAAGTATGTACTTAAATTTAATCCTATCGGTATTTTGAGAAATCATTGCATATGTAAAAGACGGGGACACACAAATTTTAATTAAAAATTTACTTTGCCTGCAGCATAAAAATAACAGTTGGTAAAAGTTTGACAAAGAACTCACGTCAGGTTCTACAGTATTTCAGAGGAATGAACTTAGATAAAAAAAGGAATGAGTTTTCTTTTAAGATAAGTTATCATAAGTCTGAGCGCTTCTTTAAGTGACTTTGCTGGAATTGGAAGTTTATCTTTTAAGTAAGAGTTATATGCTTTGCACATACTGTTGATTCCTTTCTCCTGTGGAATGTTGGTTTATAAATTTGTTACATTTCCATTCAAACAATGATAGAATGTTTTTGGACTTTCATGCTTTCTACAAAATTAATGAAGTCTATTGAACTACGTTTAAGAGACCTGTCTACACATGATTTGCATGATAACTCGGGCTACTCATTTTCTCTTACTCTCTAGCGGCTTGTACATGATTGATTATGGTAACTATTCATGACCCATCCATATTATCAAAAAAGTACAAAATTGAATTTTCATTTTTAACAACATAGCATACTTTTCATTTCTACACCAAGAAAACTTGCACAAAGGAAGCCCTAGATCATACAGTTCATCATCTAGTTCAGGTCAATCCAGAAAGGAAAACAAAATTACATGCAAACTTTAACCATAACCTAGACATCAAAAATCAGAATAATACATCCATACAGGTGGGTCTATAACCCAGTGAATGGGGGAAGAGGGGAGTCTATAACTTATTTTTTCAAATAGATGGGCTTAGGACACATGGTTCATACAGAATGTTTGGGGGGAAATGAGGGACTTTTCAAGGAACAAAATCATTTTTTCATTTTTTCCCAGAATTTGACATAGAATGACATGAAGTAAAAGTACAAACCTGTGGAAAATGTTCAGATTGTGTGTATTAGAGACAGAATCTGACTATGACTATTGTTTAAGCTTTTACACACTGGCATTAATGTTTGCATCCAAGTCAGCAAACTGTTGCATTTTCTACTTGGCAGTTTTTTTCAGTAAGTTGGCTTCCGTGACACAAGTTAATGTGGAATCTGCTTTCAAGCAAAGTTTGTCTCACCTGGTGTTTCAGTCAGAGACTTAATATCCAAATCTACTCTTCCCTTCTTCATTTTCATTTCCTTGATCTCCTCAAGTTCCAATTTCTTATTGTACACTGACCCTTTTGCCCTTTTGAATGTGTAGCCATCATCTTACCAATTAAAAACAATATTGAAATATACTTCCAAATGCATGGGTGGAGGGTTCACTTATTGCAATGATTGAAATACCTTCCCCCAGGAAGGCATGGTTCTTAGGGTACTTCAAAACATAGGCCCTTTTAACGTGCATGAGCTGTTTTAAATGCTTCAGTGTAACTGACCAAGAATGATAAATCTACCTTTTTCATCCTGAATATTGACTGTTTTTTCTCTTTTGGGGAAATTGGGTATTGCAGTACATAAATGAAAATGTGAAATGCTCAGCTGAGTTGATCCTCATGCTCTATATTTACTTTCCTCTGTCTTTCCCTGATACATCTGGCGCAAGTTAAACAAACTGTTAAAGTACAATAAATATCAACTCACCAAATGTTGATTAGAAGGAAAACTCTAAGGTTTCCTCAGAGTTTCTTAAGAAAATGTGGCTCATCAAATACCAAATAGTTATGAAACACCAGGATTTTTATCCTTTTGGTAAATGGTTGCATCATCATAATTCAAAGGTTTTCATGTGCAATTCTACTCAATGAAACAGTCTTTAACTCTGACAACTTAATTCTTCATGTTTTAAAAGCTAATGCTTCTTAAAAGACAAGAGCCTTTTTTTAAGGCATTGGTTGCAAAATGAAACAGGTCTTCATACGTTCAAGTTACTATTATTACTGTTAAAAGCCAATCTGCATGAGATGTACAGTCACACAGTTGGCACGTGAAAGTGTTGGGACTTTGTCCCCTTTCATGGTTTAATTCAAGTTATCACACAGTAATCTAGTGATCTAATTATTTCGTCAACTGGCTACTTCCAAGTTTACAGGCTGACACAAAAGTTGAGCATCTTTAAATACTATGTTTTAATTATGTTTATAATGGTAAACATGTTTCAGATATGGTAGCACTTAAGTGGCTGAAATGTGAATTTAAAAGTCTGTTGAACTTTGTACAAGAAAGAATAAAGTATGTTTACGGAATACTAATTTATTTGTTACAGCTTTAAAAAAATCATCTCTTGTTAAAGCTTCTAAAAAAGATTACACATACTTCCAAGTTAAAGTCAAGCTAAATACTAATTATTAACGTTTCATTTGTAGACCTTTCAAAACTATCATTTTTTGTTCTTCACTTTGAAGCAGGTGAAACAGAATTCATGTACGTTGCACTGTTCACAATAGCAGAATTAGGTCCTAAATGTCTTGAACCAGCAGTCACACTAAAATATGAACCCTTAAACAGCTGCATCACTGTACTCAGTCTTTGAATCATGAAGTTATTTAAATGTTATGCTTCTAAACACCTTTAGCCGTAATAAAAGACAACAAAATTGTGAAGCACCAAAATGGTGGTCTGAAAGTGCCCTTGTTTGACCTTTGGGGCAGCAATGTCATGTTTAGATGCCATATCTCATTGGTTCCTAGCAATCAACTCATAGTACCTTCAACCTTATTGGCCCCTGCAACACACATCCAAACAGACAAAAACAGACAAAGCCACAAAGCCACAAAACCACGAAGATACATAAGCTTAGAACACTGACATATAAGCTCAATGACAGAAAAAGAACTTTACTGAGAAGACCAAAATATGAGAAGACACACTTTCATGATCACCAAGAAAATTGGCATACGAATTATTTGCTGTGCTTTCCATCTTGTTTTTAGCAAAGGTTATTTTTATTCAAGGAGCTTTCAAAAATATTCAAGGACTTCTGTGGAAAATTCAAGGATAATTTGAGGATTTTTCAAGGACACCATGCTTTTTCAAGGACTTTTCAAGGCCCATGCAAACCATCTGAAATGGGTTTGACAGTATGTGTGTTGACTAAGAATCAGAATATGCTAACATATACTTGCTGAACATAAATGAGGTTTCAAACTCCAGCATAATAGCTTCTTCAGCATGCACAAGCTTTTGATACCATCTCAGAATCTTTGGGTGCATTCCTTTCGAATCATCCAAGATCACTCGGATCATGGTAGATCAGAGAGACCAATGAATCATTGTCCAGAGTGGATTCATTGATTCATTTAATCTACCATGAGAGGAGTATGTCGGATCACTGATCCTGATCCAGATCATCTCAAATGAATGTACCTTTATCAAGTAATGGACTTCAATGTTTGTCTCGTGATTCACAATGTTCGCTGTGAACAACCTGGCAAAGCATCTCTTTGTATCACAATTTGACGCTGCCAACTAAAGTTAAACAAAACTGCATGGCCCACAAGCAGCCACTTTGAGAAGGTCCCATTGTAATTCTGTTCAACTAAAGGAATACAAGCCATATAGTAAACAACAATATCAATACCTTCTGTCCCTGTACAATCAGAGAGTTCTAAATCTTCTAAACTTGTATCATCAATCTTGGGTTGTCCTTCAAGACTGCTCATGCAAGGCTGTGAAGGCAGTTATATGAGTACAATTATTGTCTGCATGCAACACTTAAACAATGCTTCTAATGCACCTATCAATGTAAACCCCGGGGGGGGGGGAGGGGGGGGGTGGGCAAGGGGGGGGGATTNCGTAAGCTCCGTTAAATTACTCGCTGTAATTAAGTTTTTTCTCTCTCCACTAGCATCTCTTATTTTGAACAACAAAATCACTCTAGGAAGATTGACCGTGCTATTATAATATTAATGAAACGTAAAATGCTTTATAACATCTGCTCAACATGTCGGAACAGGTCGGATCAGTGACCCGTAAAAAATCCTCTGACTTTCATGGTGGAATTCAATTTCAATCAAGTTTTACAATCAGATGGGAACTTGAAGATAAAAACTTTCTCAAAATAGACATTATCTGTTGAGATGACAGTTTAAAGTATTGGATTATGGCGATTAAAACAAATGAAAACTTCACACCTTTCTCCAACAGTGTGACTTTCAGAAAGCCTCAAGGGACGGATTTGGTAACCGCTTTTGAATTGATACCAGGCTTCTGTCGGTCAAAGTCAAATGTCCCGACCCAGGGGTAGCTTCGCACGATCAAAAGCTCGACAGGGGGATAGCCTCAGGCATCAAATCCCCGCCCCTTGCCCGCACTCCCCCCCCCCACGGGATTTACATTGATAGGTGCATAATTATGTGGATCAGTATTCTAAAACAAATAACTTGGACCCCCACTCCCCAAACAAACAACTGCCAATGCAAAGTCACTGTTAGCTCATGTACAGCCACCCCCTCCCCTCAGAAAAAAAAAAAATTCTGAAGGGAGGGGGTGCTGTACACAGGCTAAGTCAATTTCAGGATTTGGTTCTTTCTGATATAGAAGATGCAGTGCAAAAATTTGTTAGATTTAAGGGGATAGCAGATGGAAATGATTTGACGTCACCATGAAGGACATCAGTTTTCAACAAAATGGCCACCACACAGTCCAAAGGCACACATGCTGTGTGGTTGTTGCCACATGCTCATACCGTAGTGGTAGTTTCCAAGACCATAGTCTTGCATTATATGGTCAGAAATGCACTGTGACGATCATATCTTCATTTAAATTTGTATTTCTGCAGTTCACATAATCATTCTGTGATTCACTCCTTTCACAGGTTAAGATGAACACAACAAATTGGCCTGCTCTCTATGTATAGGTCCTCCTAACTCAATTGGTTACAGCATGCAGTGCTAACGCAGGATATTTTTTAGGTTAATTTGCAATTACTTAAATTGCCGTTACAACTGTGACAATCATATCTTCATTTAAGTTTGTATTTCCACAGTTCACATCATCATTCTGTGTTTCTCTCCTTTCACGGGTTAAGATGAAATCAACAAATTGGCCTGCTCCCAATGTATGGGTCTTCAGAGCTCAATTGGTTAGAGCACTGCAGCGCTAACACAGAAGCCATGGGTTTGAATCCTGTTGAAGTCCCAAAATATTTTTTTTCAGGTTTATTTGCAATTGCTTAAATTGCAATTACCCAGGGGCACCCAACAACTGTTCTCTGTAAAATATCTGTTCAGAGAAGCAAATTTTGCCCAGAATTTTCCTATTGCTTGAATACGGCTAAAAATTTCTAGATGAGTGTTCCATTTAGGTACAATTTTCGAAGCTCATCTAAAAAATTCCCTACGATTTTCTGAAGTTTAATTTTTTGTCTTTTACTCCTACTGTTAGGCTAATTTTCGTAAAAAAAAGGAAACCTAAAAGTTTTGGATTCAAAAATGTGGTGGAGAGAGCAATAAGCAAAATTCTCACTTTTGTATAACGTTAATTTACATCTAAAATTTTCGGAAAAATAACACTGAAGCCCTTGTAATTTCGAAAAGCCTCAAGTTCCCCTTGGATGACTGAACAGATACAAATTTTATAGCGCCACTCAGAATGCATTTCTAGAGATCTAAAAATACTCTGGAAAACCTAAAAAGACTTTTCAATGCATTTAGGAGGAAACCATTGTTGGGTGCCCCTGATTAGCACGCAAAGAAAGTCATGTACAATAGCCTGAGGATAGTGGATTTTGCAATTGGGCCAGTCAGTCCTGTTCTTAACTTGCCCGAAGGGTCAGTGAAGCCTTTGGAGAAATTCAAATTACAGAAGAACTGTAATCAATGCTGCTCAACAAAAATTTTTTGGGGTTACTTAAAAGACACTTGGGCTAGTACATACTGGCAACTACTTGCCCAAATGGCTAACTGTAAAACCAACTTCCCTTGCACACTGCCCTGATTACCACTGCGACAATCATATCTTCATTTAAATCAGCAAAATAATTTGTTGTGGCAATCACCAGCTTTAAAAAAATGTAGAGGTCATTGAGGACTGATAACAAAGAAGAAGATGAGCAGCTTGGGCTTTTCAACTAATAAAATTTGACTCGATTTTGTTTAGTTGCCTGAAGATATACCATGATAAGACACACCGCAAAATTACAACAGATTTAGAGCTATCAAGCAAACTTTTGTTGACAAAATTCTTCGCCTTATAACTGAAAAAATACGTTATATGTGTTATTGACCAAGCACAAGGTCAGGATGGCTGGACATTGGCCAAGGTCTTTTTTTCCCCATTTTATGGACTGAAATGAAGGGTGGATTCATTTGCAACATACGCATCTAGCTGTCACATTTGCCTGTGGGAATTTTTCATTGTTTTTCGCTTAAAAATAATGAAAAATTCCAACAGGCAAATGTGACAGCTACACAATGTTGCAAATGAATCCACCTGAAGTCAAGGTCAATAAAAACACAAAAGTAAGAACACACACACCCAGCCATCTTGGCTGAACGAACATGGTTAATATCTTGGGGTAAACAGCAGGAAATCCAAGCAGGCAAAAAGCATCAACTACTTCACTCAGCAAAATTTGCTACAACTTTGACCCTTAACAGAAACCCATAAGGGTTGGAACGTGTAACTCTCATATGTTTGCTTTGTCTGGTGCTCGTGATTATTAATTTTCCAAAGTACCATATTTGGAATGAGAAGAAAAGATAACTGACCAATCAAACTTTGTAAACAATGTGACGTAATTTTACTTCACGTTTCCACGCCCGCTTACAAAAATGGCTGACAAATGGGGGAAAAACTCCCGAAAAATGAGAAAGCTTTCAAAGGTTAAAACCAGGAATCTTAGCTTACCGAATACTAAGCAGGATATTATTGGCTTACCACCCGGGCCAAACGTAACATTATGAAACCCACTGATGTCCTTGCAACTTGTTGAAGTTGTCACTTCAAAAACCGATGCCTCATTGACCCTCTGCACAGTAGACTTATACTGCAAATAGGCTTTTAAATTCTTATATTAAAAGTCTACAATAAACAGTAAAAAATATTTTGAATAAAATTCATCAGCTGCGTATCGAAAAGTGTCCAAAACCTGAACCTGACATCTTCGCAAAAAGTGACGCGTGTAATGAATGTGAGAAACATTCAGCTTAAATTCTGTTTGGATGCTGTAGTCGCGATCGTGTTTTGAGCTAATTTTATGAATGAACAAACTCAAAACAATAGACAGAGAAGCCGTTTCTTGAACATTTTTATTCAACATCCAAAAAGTTAATGCTTTAAAGCAATTCGCAAACCACTATCTGGATCGTGGATCTGTTCACGCAAGTGAAATCGGCTGAGCACATGGCAAAATTCAACACAAAATACATCTCAAATTGGGGCACATTTTGTGATTTTTCTTTAGCACCGAAAAAAAAATTTATAAAACGTCTATGAAACATTTAAAAATACATAAATTCCCTTTCAAAAACGTAATCGTCTTGGCCATGGAGTGCAAAATGTACCTGAAAATTCAGCAAAAACTTTGTTTTCTTGGTTGCATTTCAAAACAGACCATGTACTCCACATTGAAGGAAACAAGGTTGAATTCCTCAAAGGACGATTTCTTGATGAAAAGCTTCCCTTCCTCCACAAAAACAAGGCTGCGCATTCTTTTGAACTTTCTCTTTCCATTTTTTGTCCTTTAACCCTTTCGTTCGCAAGTTCCTGCGAAGGAAAGGGCCGCTAAAAATACTACCAACAAAAAATCTAACATCATTACCTCTTTGATCGCTGCTCCCTTTGTCAGCTCTGATTCTACTTCTTGAAGAGGATCTAAATGGGCAGCAGCTTCATTAGATTGCACACATTCTCCTTCCAGCACCTGCCTTTTAGGAAGGCACAAGTCTTCTGGAGACTGATGGCACCCATTGCAAATTTCATCCGGAAACTGAAAAAGACTTGTAGAAACTGATCCCAGGTGCTTTCTCAAGCCATCCAAAGCCATTCTGTAAACCATCTGCAGCATGGGCTCTGATATAGAATGACATGCCCCCTCAATTGTAGGGAATTGGTCATATACATATTTACACTTATCAAAAATGAACACATCTGAGAAGACCTTGTTGCCCTTAGAAGTGTATCTGAGACGTAGCAGCTTATTCATGACAGGAAATGATGGGTTAGCCAGCTGGCCATAAAGGAGGTTCGCCACCAAACACCCTGTGCAAGGGCCAGGTACTTTACTGCACAAACTTCCAATTTTGCTACAGTCAGGAAAACACTGAGAAATAGGGTTAAGGCATGTACTCTTAAACTGTGATTTGGAATACTTTAAAATGAATTCATGTGAAGAAAACAGAAGTGGAGTTAAAAGCAGCAATGAAATGTCACACTTCTGCAAACAAGAATTCCCCCGGTTGGGAAAAATTTCATCAACCCAGGTTTTCCATATGGAGCTTGATGCCTCAGCTGATTTCAAAACAGAGGAGATGTTTTGTAAATGGGACTCTCCAGCAGTGTGGTCACATACAGGCACGCTAGTGTTGGGTTTCTCTTGAGCTTGAGATTGTTCTTCTATTGATTTGCCAGTCCCTTTAGCAATGTCTTTCAAATTTGGTAACAATATTTCTTCAAGAATGTCACCTGTGTTATCAAATATCTCAGCCCAAACTCTTGGCTTGGTTGACAATAGCATCCTTTCAACAGGAACAAACAAAGAGGCTGAGTCAATCACTTGATAAGTAATGTAATCACCATACTTTTCCTCATTAATTCTCTCACTAAGAGATTTTGCATCAAACTGAGGAGCCCTGTATTTTAAGTACTGTTCAAGCAGAAACTTGACTGCCTTTCCTTCTTGTTCCTTCTTGTTGCTTCTTTTTTCTTCTGTTTCATTTTCATGAGAAAGTTTCTTTGGGATGTTTTCCTTTCTTCCATTAAGTAAACAGTGGACACCTGAAAGGTCGTCGTCCCAGTGTTCTACAGGCTGCTTGAGAGGAGGAAACGAAAATGTGGTAATCAAAGCACCTGGCGATGACAGTCTGTTGTAGTAAAAGACATACCCGATTACCTTTAAGGTGTTCTCCTGAGCAAGCGAGGCACATGGATCAAAATAGATGATGTCAAATTGTCCTTCAAAATCTTTCAAAAAGCTTAAGAAGTCACCCTTTCGCAATTTGACACTTCTTAATTTCGACTCACTGAGGGTTTTGCCAACCGTTCTTAGAGATTCGGAACCTTTAAAAACTACCCAGACGTTCCAACACAGTACACCATTCTCAATGAGAAGTTGTAGATCGTTTACGAGGTCCGATACGCTAGAACCTAGATAACAAACTCGCAAATCTGATGCCTTCCTTGTTTGAAGTTGACTATCATGGAAACGTTCCCACTCGTCTACTTCATTTTCCATGCGTTGTTTTTGTTCATTTTGAAAAGTTTCCCTCACGTAGTTCCAACAATCTTTGACATACTCTCTCTGGACACAACAACATGTGCTTCTGTCAGTAGTCAGGCATTGTACGGCATGTTCGATAACTGTAAGTCGTGCCGGATTTTGTGATCCTTGACTGTGTACTGACGAAGATTCAGACGCCATTATTGACGGTAATCGTTCCGTTTGGTCGTCTTACAAATGGTAAGTCAGTAATCGTATGAGAAATTTCCATAGTTCACTGACGTTTTCATTCCCTAATCAAATACGCAGCCACGTACCACACACCTTAAAAGTTGAAGTTCAAAACAAGAAAGCAATCGGAACCTTCCCTAAAACGTAAGAACTTTAGCGATGTTCGTCTCGACTAAGATCACGTGGTCGATTTTTCACTGGCGAACGTCTCTGATTGGTTTCAGCAAATTTTGTTTCGTTGCAGTTATGTCCTCCGTTCTCACCTATCAACCAATAGAATGAGGTTTTATTTCTTCCAATCAAAGTGCGTTGTGATCGTGTCTTCTTCATGTGACTTCCCAACTAGGAGAGGGCTGTAGTGTGAGTTTTGTTCGTTTCAATCGTGTGGAAGACTTGTGTATGAAACAGTTTTGGAGCGTTTTCCCTGATGGGTTTTTGGAGAATTTTACAGAAGTTTGAGGTTTGTTCGAAACTTTCCTCGGTCAACGCATATTTTCATATGTTGGAGAG